ATGATGCGGACCGGTTTTTGGGAGAGGGGGATGGGAGGGGGTAAGGCGTCCGTAGCAGACATGGCTTTCGGGATTGTCACGCTGGAGGATGACGCATCATGGAGGGACCTGAGAGAAAGAAACACAAGATTAGAACATGTTCAATGCGTAAGTACAGCGAGGACTCTGAGTCTGTCCTCCTCCTGCAGGGTGACACATAGAAGGGAGCTATGAGTCTGTCCTCCTCCTGCAGGGTGATACATAGAAGGGAGCTGTGAGTCCCTCCTCCTGCAGGGTGATACAGACAGAAGGGGGCTATGAGTCTGTCCTCCTCCTGCAGGGTGAGATTGTATCAGATCTGTTATGGGATCGATGAAGTCAAACCAGGCAAAGTGCAGGGAGGATATTCATAGTGGGGGAGGGGTGGTCTCAGCACAAAGAGAGCGATATAACGATATAATTATACTGTCTGGCTGCTATAATTGCAGGCTGGCTGAGCCCAATGACATGTTAATGGCTCTCGGCAGACGGGCCCTCTGGCCAGGACGTGTGCCGGTCTCAGGGAGTCCCCAAGAGCAGTGCAAAATAATCTCCCTACGGCATTACACACTACAGCTGCGCTACTGCAACCGCCCCGCTATATACACACCCCAGACACGTGGACCATATGGCCTGCCATGTCAGAGGATGTGTCAATGAAGCCCCATTCCTGGGATACATATGATACACGTCTGATCCCGCCATCTGCAGCTTCTCGGAGAATTTCCTCTGGACACATCAGACACAAATGAAGCTTTAAATGAAAAGAACATCGTACCTACTGTGGCTCGGTTATGTCACCGTACCTACTGTGAAACATGGCGGAGGCTCGGTTATGTCACCGTACCTACTGTGAAACATGGCGGAGGCTCGGTTATGTCACCGTACCTACTGTGAAACATGGCGGAGGCTCGGTTACGTCACCGTACCTACTGTGAAACATGGCGGAGGCTCCGTTACGTCACCGTACCTACTGTGAAACATGGAGGAGGCTTCGTTACGTCACCGTACCTACTGTGAAACATGGAGGAGGCTCGGTTATGTCACCGTACCTACTGTGAAACATGGCGGAGGCTCGGTTACGTCACCGTACCTACTGTGAAACATGGCGGAGGCTCCGTTACTTCACCGTACCTACTGTGAAACATGGCGGAGGCTCGGTTATGTCACCGCACCTACTGTGAAACATGGAGGAGGCTCGGTTATGTTTTGGGGATGCTTAGCCACTTCTGGCACAGGGTGCCTTCAGTCTGTTCAGGGGAGAATTAAATCTCAAGACGATCAAAGAATTCTGGAGTAAAATGTGCTGCCCAGTGACAGGAAGTCTCAGTCACAGGTCAGGGGTCACCCAACAATGGCCCAGTACAAAACCTGGGACTATTCTGGAGTGACCTCCATGAGCCGCGATCTGAATTCTATAGAACATCCCCTCAGTATCTGTGTGTGTTATGTTCTTTGTAGGAGGAAAGCTTAGAAGCTCTCTCTGAGGTTTTATGATCTATGTGAAGAGTTTCATTCACTTCCTGTTTCATCACCTGGACAGGAGGTAGAAGGGAAACCTCCACAACAGGAAAACAATTAGCAATAACAACCCGCCACCGGGCAGCCGGCACAACACAGTCTTCAGGCCTCAAAGTTCTACTGAGAACGTTGTGTGAATCTCCAACTATGACCTCCGTGTAACATCCAGGTCTGAAAACAGGTTTATCCGGCTGTCCCTACCTCCCTCCCCCATACAAAACTGAGACTATGAGGACACCTGACCATCACACCTACTATAAGGCCAAAAGTATATGAGGACGTCTGACCATCACACCTACTATATGACCAAAAGTATATGAGGACGCCCGACCATCACACCTACTATAAGGCCAAAAGTATATGAGGACGCCCGACCATCACACCTACTATAAGGCCAAAAGTATGAGGACACCTGACCATCACACCTACTATAAGGCCAAAAGTATGAGGACACTTGACCATCACATCTACTATAAGGCCAAACGTATGAGGTCACCTGACCATCACATCTATATGGGCTTGTTGAACATCCCATTACAAAACCATGACCATTAATATGAGGCCTCCTCCACAAGATGTTGGTGAGTGTCTGGGGGTATTTGTCCCATTTGTGAGCTCAGGTGCTGATGCTGGATGAGAAGACCTGGCTCTCAATGGGGTGTTCAACTCAAAGGTGTTCCGTAGGGTTGAGGTCAGGACTGTGTGCAGGACACTCGAGTTCCTCCACCAAACTGGTCACACAATGTCTTTATGGAGCTGACTTTGTACACAGGGGACAGTCATGGCGCAAAATAAAAGGGTCTTCACCAAAGACAATTGTCTACAATGTCTTTGTATGGTGTAGTATTAGGTATGGTGGTCAGGTGTCCTCATACTTGGGCCCTATAGTAGGTGTGATGGTCAGGTGTCCTCATAGTTGGGCCCTATAGTAGGTGTGATGGTCAGGTATCCTCATAGTTGGGCCCTATAGTAGGTGTGATGGTCAAGTGTCCTCATAGTTGGGCCCTATAGTAGGTGTGATGGTCAGGTGTCGTCATAGTTGGGCCCTATAGTAGGTGTGATGGTCAGGTGTCCTCATAGTTGGGCCCTATAGTAGGTGTGATGGTCAGGTGTCCTAATACGTTGGGCCCTATAGTAGGTGTGATGGTCAGGTGTCCTCATACGTTTGGCCCTATAGTAGGTATGGTGGTCAGGTGTCCTCATACTTGGGCCCTATAGTAGGTGTGATGGTCAGGTGTCCTCATAGTTGGGCCCTATAGTAGGTGACACAGATCAGCCCCCTGAAGCCGCCACTCACCCAGTGACTGGATACAATGTTACAATGTTGCAGTCATGGATTCTGATTGGGGGAGGGAGGAGAAGATGGCGCCAGGGAAGGAAAAGCCGGAAGATTCTCTTTTCAGGTTCCTCAACATTCACATAACTTCAAAAACAATATACAGTGACAGGAAACCACATGACCACCGGAGAGGAATCCGGCCCGGCCGGTGCGCACGCCACGGACACGCAATGGCCTCTTATATACGGGACGCAGGAAATGTATACAGATATATATACAGACCGTATACAGATATATATATACACAGACCGTATACAGATATATATACAGAGACCGTATACAGATATATATACACAGGCCCTATACAGATATATATACAGACCGTATACAGATATATATACAGACCGTATACAGATATATACACAGGCCGTATACAGATATATATACAGACCGTATACAGATATATATACAGACCGTATACAGATATATACACAGGCCGTATACAGATATATATACAGACCGTATACAGATATATATACAGACCGTATACAGATATATATACAGACCGTATACAGATATATACACAGGCCGTATACAGATATATATACACAGGCCTTTTACAGATATATATACACAGGCCGTATACAGATATATATACAGAGACCGTATACAGATATATATATATACACAGGCCGTATACAGATATATATATATATACACAGACCGTATACAGATATATATACACAGGCCGTATACAGATATATATACACAGACCGTATACAGATATATATACACAGACCGTATACAGAAATATATACACAGGCCGTATACAGATATATATATACACAGACCGTATACAGATATATATATATATATACACAGACCGTATACAGATATATATACACAGGCCGTATACAGATATATACAGACGGTATACAGATATATATACACAGACCGTATACAGATATATACACACAGGCCGTATACAGATATATATACACAGACCGTATACAGATATATATACACAGGCCGTATACAGATATATATACACAGAGCGGGTCTAATACAAAGGGACGATTTGTCCTTATTAACATTCCGCAGCCAGGAAGAGGGACCAGAGACCCCCATCTACAGAGCGCACTGCGAGCCGTGACATCAGTGCAGGCGCCGCTGTGTACATGTGACCCGAGAATGACCCCCCATCAACTGCCGGAGACAGGAAGTCCTAGACAGGGAACTAACCCACAGAGCTGACACTCTAATATACAGAGAGGATACAGATACAGTATATAGAGAGAGGTGTGTGCTGCAGAGCTGACACTCTAATATACAGAGTAGCCTGCAAGATGGTGATGACGGTGGGTCCTCGGTCTGTATACAGAGGATGGAGATGACGGTGGGTCCTCGGTCTGTATACAGAGGATGGTGATGACAGTGGGTCCTCGGTCTGTATACAGAGGATGGTGATGACGGTGTCTCCTCGGTCTGTATACAGAGGATGGAGATGACGGTGGGTCCTCGGTCTGTATACAGAGGATGGAGATGATGGCGGGTCCTCAGAACGGCCCCCTCCTCGCATACAGACACAATGAGGACAGGTTGGGTGGGGTACACACATTGGACAGACATGATAAGGAGGATCTGTGTCATCCTGATCCCTGGCACACAGATCAGGATGCAGTGTGGTAAGGACAGACATGTCGGTCCGTATCCACACCCTATAGGACAGAAGCCCGGTGTCATCCTCATCCTGTAGGAGGGGATACAATGGCAGATCCGCACACAGCCCGGTGAGAGCCGATCGCTGCACATTGCTACAGAGCCCTACAATGATATGGAGGCCGGGTGTCATCCTGATCCTCGGGACATGGGCTATGCATGGCGGATGGCACATAGACCTCCGTGCCCAGGGAAGAATGGAGGGGACTCACCTGTGTGCAGAGGAGAGGATGGAAGCTGGCAGAGCTCTGAGCCGGGTACACGGGAGGAACGGCAGAGCTGGGAGAGGAGTGGGCGGGCGGGGGAGGAGCCGGAGGAGGGGAGGGGGGGGGCATCGCCCTCTATTGTTCTCCCCTCCCCCTCCTCTGTAGTACATGTTACAATGTATCAAAGAGAGATCGTGTGTCATGTACAAGAGACTCCGACACCCCTATAATCATCATCATCCACCTCATCATCCTTCCCATCATCCTCATCCTTCCCATCATCCTCATCCTACTCATCATCCTCCTCATCATCCTTCCCATCATCCTCATCCTTCTCATCATCCTCCTCCTTATCCTTCTCATCATCCTCCTCCTCGTCATCATCTTTCTGCAGTATCTTCTGCTATGCCACCCTAATATATATATATATCATTATTATGAGGGGTGCAGCGATTCTGATGACAATCCCCCATACTGGGCTCTGATACCGCCGCATTTCTAAACTGAAGCAGTGTAAACAAACGCCGCCGTACAGAGGAAGACTGCCGAGGTCCCCGGCAAGGTCCCAGGACCATAGACCCCGCACAGGACACCTGAGACCCCGCACAGGACACCTGAGACCCCGCACAGGACACCTGAGAACCCGCACAGCACACCGGAGACCCCGCACAGCCCACTGGAGACGACCCCACACAACCCACCTGAGACTCTGCACACCACACCTGAGACTCTGAACAGCACACCGAGACCCTGCAAAGTTTCCGGAGACCCCACACAGCCCCCCTGGGACCTCACACAGCATCCTGAGACCACACACAGCCCACTATAGACCCCGCACTGCCCACCTGAGACCCTTCACAGCCCTCTTAGGACCCGGCACTGCTGTGCCCATTATGAGGGGCTCCTACCATCCCTGTGCTGAGTTCCCGGGTCTGTACACCCGCTGTGCCCATTATGAGGAGCTCCCTCCATCCCTATGCTGAGTTCCCGGGTCTGTACACCCGCTGTGCCCATTATGAGGGGCTCCCACCATCCCTGTGCTGAGTTCCCGGGTCTGTACACCCGCTGTGCCCATTATGAGGGGCTCCCACCATCCCTGTGCTGAGTTCCCGGGTCTGTACACCTGCTGTGCCCATTATGAGGGGCTCCCACCATCCCTGTGCTGAGTTCCCGGGTCTGTACACCTGCTGTGCCCATTATGAGGAGCTCCCACCATCCCTGTGCTGGATTTATCCATCATTTCTCTCTCAGTCTTGAATGAAGACGTCGGGGGGGAGAGGTAACGCATGTTCCACCGATAACTGAAATAAGGAGATTCATTGATGACACATTTAGGGCGCCAACAACGCTCCTCTGATAGAAAATCCCGCAATGTATTAGATGAGATTCCGGAGATAATGAGGATTATTAATGTATAAATTGGATGAAAATAACCAGCCAAACGCTCAGGAAACGGCCCCAAAAACGCTCAGCCGGGGAATCCACTGAATACACTTCGTGTGTCACATGTTATGTTGTGTCAGCAGTGAGATCCGACTTGGCCAACGTTCACATGCCCATCCCAGAAATAAAACACAACATGATATAGAGACCCAACCCAACCACGAAATGACATTCCACACCCGCCAAACTCCGCCCACCACGAACCGACCAACACAAGAGGGGCCACGAGTCTGTCCTCCTCCTGCAGGGTGATACATAGAAGGGAGCTATGAGTCTGTCCTCCACCTGCAGGGTGATACAGACAGAAGGGAGCTATGAGTCTCCTCCTCCTGCAGGGTGATACAGACAGAAGGGAGCTATGAGTCTGTCCTCCTCCTGCAGGGTGATACAGATAGAAGGGAGCTATGAGTCTGTCCTCCTCCTGCAGGGTGATACATAGAAGGGAGCTATGAGTCTGTCCTCCTCCTGCAGGGTGATACAGACAGAAGGGAGCTATGAGTCTCCTCCTCCTGCAGGGTGATACAGACAGAAGGGAGCTATGAGTCTGTCCTCCCCCTGCAGGGTGATACAGATAGAAGGGAGCTATGAGTCTATCCTCCTCCTGCAGGGTGATACATAGAAGGGAGCTATGAGTCTGTCCTCCTCCTGCAGGGTGACATAGAAGGGAGCTATGAGTCTCTCCTCCTCCTGCAGGGTGACATAGAAGGGAGCTATGAGTCTCTCCTCCTCCTGCAGGGTGATACATAGAAGGGAGCTATGAGTCTGTCCTCCTCCTGCAGGGTGACACCAAGAGAAGGGAGCTATGAGTCTGTCCTCCTCCTGCAGGGTGATACAGACAGAAGGGAGCTATGAGTCTCCTCCTCCTGCAGGGTGATACAGACAGAAGGGAGTATATGAGATAACAGTATACAATGTGATCACGGACATTACATGTCTCTCGCTGTCCTATGTGCACTTAGCCCGTGTCGTGTGTTATGTGACATTCTTCTCTGTTGCACATCACTGAGAACATACAACGTGAGTTGGATTAGAATTCCTTATCGCCATCGATGAGCGCTCCGCGCGGTCACATGTATCGGGGATATTAATCATCTTTGATTTCATTGTGTTCCAGATTATTGAATGTCGTTTCCTCCTCGTGTCACAATGACACTAATCCCCTTATACAATGTATACCGGCCCCTCACCGGCACCGGGGCCCTCGCCACCATACACTGACAGGTGACGGCGAAGGGGACATTCCCCGAAATGTCTCTGTCATACAGTATGGAGGGGAGTTCTGCAATAATGAAGATTCATGTCGCTGGAATTGACGTGAATTGTGCAGGAGATCATTTCTTTGTTTCTTCCAAAATGACTAATCAAAGAAATGATATCAGCAATCTCCGTGTTACATATGGAAGGGGAAGTACACAGGAATGAGACGCGCTCGAGGAATGAACAGCTCAACATATCTTCTGATTGAATATATAGAATACTTTTTTGTTACAGCAGAGCTCCCCAAAGCCAAACTGTGGCCCTTTGTGTGCCATTAATTGGCCCTTGGATGCTATTCCCCCCACTGACACCAATAATGGGGCACTATTCCTCCCACTGACACCAATGATGGGGAACTATTCCCTCTCACTGACACCAATGATGGGGCACAATTCCCCCCACTGACAACAACGATGGGGCACTATTCCCCCCACTGACACCAATGATGGGGCACTATTCCCCCCACTGACTCCAATGGTGGGGCACTATTCCTCCCACTGACACCAATGATGGTGCACTATTCCTCCCACTGACACCAATGATGGTGCACTATTCCCCCCACTGACACCAATTGTTGGGGTAAGGGAGATTTTGGAAGAATTTATGGGGCTCCAGCCTCTCTAAGCCGGGGTCTCATTCATCTAATCAATATCTCTCTCTCACTGAGCAGTCCTATTGATTAGAGCAGCGTTCTGGATGGGGGATGAGGTGCATCAGAGAGCCGGGCCGCCGCTTGAGTGTGAGGACATCAGTCTGACTCTCCTAGTGCTGCCGGGGCTGGTTTATTAACCCTTGCTGCAGATAAAGAGGCATTATCATGACCACATACGCAGCCTGACCACATTACAGAAATAGATTAAGACGGATGAATTGGGCTTTATGTCGCCTAGGGACAATTTTGGGTTCGTTGCCATTTTACAGCCACAAACAATTTTGCTGAACGTGACATTTGTAAAAATAAAATTCCAGTGTGAGCCGAACTTTCTATGTTATTAGGTGACTTCCCTGCCAGATTCTATCAGCCTGTGGACCATTCTGCCTTCTGGTGGTCAGTGTTAGGTACTGCAGATGCAGCCAAATTGTTTTACTTCCTACATCAAATATGTTGAAATGGATCCACCATCAGATATGAATGAAAGGGGTGGGCCCAGATCAGGCTGGGGAGTAAAGTCCTAGAAAATGCTGGACGTCCTCCAGCCAGGAAATGAGGGCGCGCTCTATCTGACTTGCTGCAGCTTCTAATGCACATTGGGAGAAGCTCACAGTGTGCAGTGACATCAGAGGAAGAGGAGAGGAGTCGGTACAACTGTGCAAGATAGAAGGGAAGGACGGAGGCCAGATATAACGCTGAAGGGAAGGACGGAGGTCAGATATAACGCTGAAGGGAAGGACGGAGGTCAGATAGAAGACTGAAGGGAAGGACGGAGGTCAGATATAACGCTGAAGGGAAGGACGGAGGTCAGATAGAAGACTGAAGGGAAGGACGCAGGTCAGATAGAAGACTGAAGGGGAGGCTGGAGGTCAGATTAAAGACTGAAGGGAAGGACGGAGGTCAGATAGAAGACTGAAGGGAAGGACGGAGGTCAGATAGAAGACTGAATGGAAGGACGGAGGTCAGATAGATGACTGAAGGGAAGGACGGAGTTCGGATATAAGGCTGAAGGGAAGGACGGAAGTTAGGTAGAAGACTGAATGGAAGGACGGAGGTCAGATAGAACACTAAAGGGAAGGACGGAGGTCAGATATAAGACTGAAGGGAAGGACGGTGGTCAGATAGAAGACTGAAGGGAAGGACGGAAGTCAGATAGATGACTGAAGGGAAGGACGGAGGTCGGATATAAGGCTGAAGGGAAGGATGGAGGTCAGATAGAAGCCTGAAGGGGAGGAAGGAGACTGAAGGGAAGGACGGAAGTCAGATAGATGACTGAAGGGAAGGACGGAGGTCGGATATAAGGCTGAAGGGAAGGATGGAGGTCAGATAGAAGACTGAAGGGAAGGACGGAGGTCAGATAGATGACTGAAGGGAAGGACGGAGGTCAGATAGATGACTGAAGGGAAGGACGGAGGTCGGATATAATGCTGAAGGGAAGGACGGAGGTCCAATGAAGGACTGAATGGAAGGACGGAGGTCTGATATAAGACTGAAAGGGGAGGCTGGCAATTAACTTTAAGGCAGTTTGTGCTAGAACAAGTGTCCCCATTGGGAGATTTCCCATCTCTTCCTGTCTGATGGATCTTAGATGTTCTCAATGATAATGGTTACCAGAATAGAGAGGATAAAATCCCCCCAGAAGGGACATAGAGAGCAACCATATCGGCCTCCATTCCAAGCTAGAAATTAGGTTTTGTGGTTTAGTTACAATCCCGGATGGACTTCTTGTTGG